TTAAACACATCTGCAGGAATCACAATTCTGGTGGCTGGAATCTCAGCATCAGAAAAATGGAGCTGATATTTTGATGAAAATTGTTGAAATGTCAACATGTGCTTGATTTTTTTGTTGCTTTTCTTGTTTATTTCTGTATCAATTGATCCACAAATGATAAACATATGTAAACATGCAGTTGTTGAACTCTTCAGCTTATGTAATGAAGATAGAAATGTAGCATACAATTCTCAGATGTTAAAAGAGTGCGGTTCCTGAAGTTGAATATATGATTTGTTTTTAAAGTTTGAAATGATGTATATAGAACAATTAATTTCTTTCATACAAGTTTAGAAAAGAAAATTTAAAACAAATTGTTAAAAATGTTTGCACTAAGAGAAGATTAAGGAACACAGATGTATTATAGAAGTAAATTCATTACAGTCATATCGTTTGAACTTGGAACTTACTGCTCAAGAGTTATGAAGAAAATCATTGTATGACGAATACAGGTTTTGACATGGTCTTATTAACCCGTATTAAACTAAATCCACTTCGTTTTGGGAGCATGGAAATGAGATTGGTGGCATTGAAATCAGAAATGAGGTCATGTAAACAAAACACAACACCGCTGGCCGTTTGAAAAGATTAGAATACATTCTTTCCAAGTAAATATTCCGAAGTATGGTTTAATTTTCTCTCGGCTTCAATTCTTTAATGAAAATCTTATTCAATTCTGTACTGTAGGCTACATATTCATCAAAATATGTCATGGCATGCTGTTTTTAAGGCGTCATAATGAGTGATTGTTTTGATTGGCTGAAATTTGCTACCAATACAGTAGGGCCATTTTTGATTGGACAATATTTAGCTATGCATACCTAACTTTTCTCACTTGTGTTACCACGGGAACGAGGAAGTATGGATGTAAATATATCAATTTGAACGGTTTATTAAAAATGTTATTTAAAAATAGACCTTTACCCTGAAACCTTGACTGAATATAAGATTTGTGTCTATCTGCTTAAGCTCAGATTCCATATACGCGGATCCGTCATGCGTCAAATATGATTCCATAGGTGCGTCAAACGTATGCGTTATCTTTCTTTTGACGCACAGATTTCTAGACAGATGGATGCTTTGGTGCACAAAAGAGACAGGGAATTCCCACAAAATATGTCACATTTGGGAGATATCCGCGAGGAAAGGCGTCCGGATGCGTGAAAAATTGCTACACCCAGCGATTTTTTTTTTTTGACGCATGACAGAGACCATTTGACGGATACCGCTTCCGCATATATGGAATCATACCCTCTTAAACCAACCATTTCGATTTTTAACGCATGACGGATCCACATGACGGATCCGCATGACGGGTATATGGAATCTTACCTTGAGAGGATCTAACAATGGAAAGAGTCCCATATAGAATACTTGACTTTGGTTTACACTTCTGTTAATGGCCATGATCCAATTTGACTTCTAATGAACTGTCGCGTTAGCTTTTTCCTGCTCGTAAAAATGTTCGCTTGGAAACAAATAATAACAAGATAATGTAGGATTCTGGTTACTAAGCTGATAATTCTGACCAAATTCAAGGCATTAAGAGGAAATAATTAAATTAATGACTTTGTGTTCTAAACACACACAGTATAAGTTTAATGTATGTTGGATGATTTGCAATAGTTTAACATTAGCTTAATTGTCATTAAAAGGTTGAATAGTTACTTTTTATCATTAATCCTAAATTAATCAACCATTGTTGTATTTTCATGACTTAACATTTTATCTGACCACTAATTACAAAACTTGTTTACTAAATAATGTGCATAGGTAAAAAATAGAACAAACCATGTCTGTTGATTTTAAGGTCTGACTGTTTCCAGTAGTGGCGCCAGCCTTCCGAGACTGGGGGTACAAATAGGCAGACTGACTCAACGGGGAGACAACTGCTGAGGCTGAATTCAACTTTTGGCTACACTGTGATGATGTCAAAGTCGCAAGCCTCTCATAGACTGTCCTAGAGGGTTCTCTCAAGAAATTTGAGAGAAAATGAATTGATTTTGTGCATTCTGACACATATTTTGGAGAATACAGGTAGACATTTAAATTTGTTGAAAATATAGTAGGGGATGCAAACCATTTTTCTAGGGGGACAAAGGGAGATGAATTGACTCACTCAAGGCTTCTCCAAATTATTTTCTTGTAATTTGCCACACAGTGCCTATGAAATTGATTATGATGATGGTGAATTAGATCCTTGTGATGCCTAAAGACTGGTAGAGGTACGTCTCCAGACAGTAGGCAATCAAAGAAAAAACTCAAGTATGATCACATGTGAACTGACAAAAAATCTTGAAATTTTCCAGCATCATTGGTAGTACAATGAGTTGAAAAGTAGGATGTAAAACTCCATTGTATAATCAACCTTATTAGCCTAGTTATCAAACAGATTACATTTAACAATGATAATAGCATGATTTCTATCAACTAGAAACCTAATGTTCCAATAAAACATGATATGAAAGCAAAAGTAGAGTAATTGGTATCAATCGGCTTATGTTAGTAATTATTGTATCATTTGATAGTCATGTTCTCACATTTAACATAGTGACTAGTCTAGTCAGATAGTAAATACTATATAGTCTTTTTAACCATGATTGGTATTAACTTTATAAAGCCTGGCTAATATTTTGATTGTACATGGATTTATTACATATAGTTAACTAAAACCCCATTGACATTATAAATATTACCCGTTCTCAGAACAATACTGAGTTTTGTAGTGTAAACAGTGCGAAAAGTGGTATCTGATAAAATGCTAGATTCAGCTGACCAGACCACATAGAAAACTCTGTTACTTGCTCATTACTTTTCAATATATCAATTTTAGAGCACAATGTTTTTGGCATCATCACATTAATATTTAAAATTAAATTCTTGATGCAAGGGACATTATGAAAGCTGAACATGAGAAATGTTTTTTGGCTCCAGGGCCTGAACTATTAGACAATTCCTTAGACTGGTGGTTGCTATTTGTAATTGTAAGTCATTTTTGGATTGTAGAGCATTTAGCTTATGTCCAATGTAACAGACCTAATGCTTTGAATCACCTTGTGAATTGAGTCCTCCATAAACTTCCACATAAGCAACTACTGGTATATCATTTATGGCCAATTTTTTCTAAAACTTTGAAATGAAAAGAGTTGAACAAGAAATCTATGATGGTCAGAATACATTATTAAGAGTGATAGTTTTTAAAGGACAGATTAGCCATTTTTGATTTGTGTCTTGAATATATGTAATTAGTCTACTAGAATCAGATAATTCCTTTAAAAAATACTTTACACACAGATTATTCTGGACACACATGGATTTCAAGGCTCAAATTTTGACAGTGAGCTGTGAACATTACTACTAACTAGCCTAGCTATGAATCTAAGTACGATTGGTCAAATGGATGGAAAAAAGTGACCCTTTAAAAATATGAAATAAAGAGATCTACAATGGTCCGGGTACATTATTAAGAGTCTTAAGTACTTCATCCTAAGTTTTTAAAGTACTCTCTTAAAGTTAAACTTGTGACCCTATAGTAAGAGGTATCAATATTGACTCATTGTATTATTAGTAGATCAAGTTATTATTCTAGGTAATTATAGGATGGACATAGTATTAATAAGATTAGGATACTAGATAATTCTAATCTGTCTTGTTATTTATTTTTATATCAACTTATGACATTTTGGATGTCTCTTATGGTCACAGGTATAACTGAATGATTTATATAAAATTCCTTCTAAGTAAAAGAAATATACCAGGACCAATAACTCATATAATAATACAGTATATGAGGTTTTTCATTTTCATCCGCAGAAAAGGAACATTGAACCTCGTATAATAATATATTTTACAAGGTTTTAAATGTGACTGTTTATATACGTGTTATTTAATTAGTGCTTTTTGAGTTATTTACAATCAAGCTGAGAATACGAGGATTTGATCACACGATCCGTGCTTTTACGAGCAAAAAGTCAAAATGACCAAATATGGCATATACAAGGTTTCAAGCGGTCACCCACGATATTCAAATCATTCAGCCAGAATTGCACATCTGTCCCTTTAATTTGTTTACAGCTTTAACAATATGTAATAAAGTTGACAATCTTCTATTGTGTATATATATATATCTAAATAAAATTCAAAAATGAAGTGAATCATCTCTATTATTATACAGTATTTTGTTAAAGTTTTATTTTGATAAAGTGAGATATCAGAGAAAACATCCCTGTATTTCCCAGGGGAAATTTTTAAAATCTTATCTTAAACAATGGAGAATTGTTAATGAAAATTGTTTGTTTGAGATGTATTTCCTGTTGATTTCCTATCATCATTAAGATAATGATAAAGATAGTAATAAAGACACCTGTCTCTAACTCACTTGTTCAGACATCAGTGGTAGCTCAGTGGTTTAGATGCTTGTTTGTATACCTCAGGTTTATGGGTTTGATCCCATCAAAGGTGATACCTTCAAACAGGTTAGGGGGAAGTGAGCTATAAACGGGGTTGATGGAAGTGAGTTAAACACGGGTAGGGGGAAGTGAGGTTAGAAACGGGTTTGTGGAATTTAGTGAAAATGGGATGGTGAGCTAAAAATGGGTAGAGGATAGTGAGGTTAGAAACGGGTTGAGGGAATGAGTGAAAATGGGATGGTGGAAGTGAGTTAAACATGGGTAGGGGGTACTGAGGTTAGAAACGGCTTGGGGGAATTGAGTAAAAATGGGTTGGTGGAAGTCAGTTAAAAATGGGTTGAGGTAGTGAGCTAAAAACGGGTTGGGGGAATTGAGTGAAAATGGGATGGTGGAAGTCAGTTAAACTTGGATATGGGGAAGTGAGGTTAGAAACTGGTTAGGAGGAAGTGAGTTAAAAATGGGTATGGTGGAAGTGAGCTAAAAATGGGTTGCAAGGAAATGAGTTACAAATGGGTTGGGGGAATAAGTTTAAAATTGGTTGGGAGAAGTGAGTTACAAATTGGTTGGGGGAAATGAGTTACAAACGGGTTGGGGGAAATGAGTTACAAATGGGTTGGGGGAAGTAACTTTAAAATGGGTTGGGGGAAGTGAGCTGTGAATGGTGAATTGTGAGTATGGGTTTGGGGAAGTGACATGAATTGGGTTAAGAAAATGAAATAAAGAGCCTTTGCTTTATAAACCTTAAGGTAGTCTAAAGTTTCAAGTTGCTAGCTGCTTTTTGATGTACAACATACCATAAAAATAAAAATAGTTTGCCAATGCCTGAACCAACTTTTACATTCTTTCCAATTTCTACCCATATAGTTCAATCAAAGGTAAAGTATCAGTATAAAAAGTGGATCAAATTCTAAGTACAAAGTATTAAACCATTATACGATTATATTACTGTTATAGTAAGATAGACCACTGTTTATTTTGACTTTAATTATATTATTTTTGGCTGATGATTGACCAATAGGTTGTGGTCAGATAGTCTGTGTTGGTGGTCAGATGGTGCCAATAATTTCCGTGAAGACTATAAAAGTTACCATCATGAGATTTGACCATTTCCTATAATGTGTGGAATTCTGTAGAATTCTGATAGTAAAATGGTGACCATATGTTCAGTTGTTGAAGAGAAAAAAGGCAGGTTGTTTTTCTACTAATCAATTTATAGCTAGAAGTCCTAGTGGGTATTTATACATCAGATCAAAACATTTTACCATTCTTACCTTTTATTTTTACTACTGACATACACACCTTCGTGAAAATATAATTTCTAGATAACAGTATATAAGCTTCTAAGTTCAAAAACCTGCTTGGTATGGACGTGTAGAATGATGAGATCTCTGATAAGTTTGAATTTAAAGATAATTTGACAAATATTTCTTGAGTTATTGACCTTGATTGAAACTATATAAATCAGATTTACTGTGTTCATTTTTTTTATTTAAAAAATGCTTATATTGTGTGTGCACACATCTTTGCTCAACTGTGATCATGTTTGTGAGATTTCACGAACACAATCATGATTCTTTTAGCCGCCAATCATGATTCTTTTAGCCGCCATTCACACTATAGCCAGTGAAAGACTTTCTACATAAACTCTACAGCTGATAGGACTCAGTTTAAGCTATCCATATCGCTTATTAGAATCAAAATATGGCTCATGGTTCTCCTGCAATTGAGCAAACCATACAAAATCATAGGAAAAGTAATTCTCTACAAGATGGCGTTTATTTAACTCAAATCCGTACAGTAGTTTTCTAACAGCTTCCAAAAAACATAACAAACTTTAAATGGTTACGTAAAGTTTTGGCATAAAAAAAATTAACATCTGGATTTTTTTATTTAAACCTTTCAGATACGTTGTGGGATACATATCAGCTGATAAAGCAAATATTTAGACTGCCATATCCCTTTAACATGTATGAAATTTGTGGAAGAATTTATTTTTGGATCACTAATTACCTGAAATCAGAAGCTCAGTGACCAGCTAACTCTCTTCTGATAAAAATAAACCTTGTATGTCTTAATTCAAGATTAAATGAATTAATCTTTCTTTGAAGTGAAGAGTTTATCAATGATAAATTAAGTTATAAACAGAGTTTATTTGTTTATCTATTATTTGTTTATCTCTTGTCTTTATATAAGATGATTATAGTCAAATAAATTTATATAAACCAATAACTTTCCATTAAAATTTTTGAACAATTTAGATTTCACTGAGGAAGGGGGATTCAAATCATTTACATAAAGTCAGAATGTCGATATGATATTCATTGTTTGAAGGGAATGTCTGTTTTAATCATTCAGACAATATGATGGTGAATGTCTGGCCTTAAATAATGTTGAAGTCTCTCTTAGTTTTGTCAACTCCATATTCCTTTCTGAGAGTCCACATAGCTATTATAGTTTATTTGTTAAATTCATGACCTGATTGATGGAATGTTTTGTCCAAAATCATCTGAAAATTGTGAATGTCTTTCAGAATTCTTTCTTTTAAGGGAATGTCTGCTTAGATTATTCAGACAATATTGTGAATGTCTGGTCAAAAATATTTTTGATATCTTAAGTTGGAAATCATTAATGACTTGATTGAGTGAGGATCTTGTTAAAAAATCTTTTGCAAATATTGAGAATATCTTTTCAAATTTCTTTCTTTGAGATGGAATATCTGTTTAAATCTGTTCCTACAATACTTACAATGCCTGGTCCAAAATTATTTTGATGTCTTAGCAGTGGCTGAGCCAGGTTTACGTCCAAGGGGTGGCAAAATACCTGAGGTTGCCCGAAATTCTAACCCAGTTATGATATTTTTGCCCGAAAAACATGCCTTTGGGGCTGTGAGGGGGGACGGGTAACCCCTCTGTCTCCGCCCCTGTGTCTTAGGTCAAAATCATTTATACCCATATTGGAGGATTGTCTTCAAAATCATTCAAAGGGAATAATCTGTCTGGAGGAATTCAACCAAAAATCATTTGTAAATAAAGATAATGTTTAGCAAAGGGGAATGTCTCATCAAATATCATGAAACAGACAACAGCCAAAGGGATTGTCTTGTCATGGGAAGGCCTAGAAAAACTAATTTAAGGAAGTAAAGGGCAATGTTTATTTAAGGGGAATGTCATGTACTAAACCTTGTGGAATATGTAGTTAAAATTGCTTAATATTTCTTTGTCAAAAATCAGCATTATAGACTAAAACAGCCAGTGGCTCTTGGTCTGCAAGAAGAAATTGGAAGTTTTGGTTTGATCACATGTGTTAGGTGTATAAGAAGATATTTTGATATTTGAATCATTTATTATCATATAGAAGAGGAGTGATAAACAATGGTGAAATAGAAGCAGATTTCACTGTCTGTTGCTGTTATGATAGTTTTTCCCAGACTTTTTTTATTTTGTGAGTCTGACCTGTAAAAGGCATATCAATATGGAATGGTAATTTAAGCTTGTATAAATTGAAAGGAGATCAAAAAGGTCTAGTTGAGATATATTCTAACTGGCAACAAGATACTAGAATATTTCAGGAAAATTTGTGATAATTGATAGAAAGTGAACAGTTGGAGATGTAAAGATGTTTGATGAATACATCTTCACAATGTCAAACATTAGCCCCTTTTACATCAAGCCAGTATAAAGCGTTCGTTCTCAGTCCAGGATGCGATAAAATGAGCCCATTTACATTACAGTACATTTTAGTACGATCCTTCAGTTGTAGTGTAATAGCACGGTTATCTGTGGAACTCTTCTTGAAGAAGTTAAAATTAATCCTTGTGTTCACCCTGATGTAATCAAAGACATCTGGTTGTAATCAATAATTGCACTGTATAATGATGAAAGTCCACTGAAATAGGTGAAGGTCGCTTATGAGGCATGCTCATTAAAGCGTTCTCGGAACGGTTATCCTTAGCACTACACCAATTACCATGTCCGTTCTGAGAACCGTTCCGAGGGTTAGAATTGGAACGGTTCTGAGAACACTTGTCTGTTAACATTACACAAGTTCATCCATTTTATTCTGAAATTTTGTAATGCAAAAGGGGTTAAAAAAGATCTAATGCCCTGGCTCCCAACCTCGGGTGAGGTTATCAAATGATTGCTGTGATGGTGTGAGGACTGGAAAAGGTTGGGAATCTGATCTAATACCTTGACATCTTCAGGCACTATTATATTTTTTTAAGTATACAAATAAAGTTTAAATTTGAGACCCTGGGCTAGCTACTAGCCTGCATGAACCATTTTCTGCCATATTGTTGAAGTCTTTCTGTCGAGGGCTTTGATTGGCTGTATTTGCTTCTGTAGAATCCAATCAAATCACAACCTTCCATGATAAATGTAATACCTTGACATTGTGAAGATAGATGTATACCCTTTTAATTTAATATTTGTTTTATTCTGTGTTACATGATTAGTGTTTTTGTTCATTTGTTACATGTAATGTTTTATACTGTCGAATTTTACTTTTATTTTAACTGTTATCAGCAGTATATTAGGTCCCAGAATACTGAACAAATTCTAGTTAACGATTACATTTTAGTTTTTATCTGCTTTTGTTAAAATTGTTATAATTGCACCGTGTCTCGTAAGCCTCTTTTTGGCTGGAAATCTTAACGTTTTAAATTATTCTATATATATTTGTATTTTAATGATTTGTGACACACATTTAATAAACTAACTTATTATTATTATTATATATTTAGATCTTCATATTTGAATGTTGTTATACTACATTGTCTTCCATCAAATCATGAGAGACTTCGTTTGAGATATTGACTCTTTTGCCCTTCTCGGTTAATCCCTGAATAGATTCCTAACATTGCCTACTGTATATCGTGCAAAGGAATATTTTGACTTTTATCTTCTACCTTAAGTGCCAATCATTTTTCAGTGAGTTATCACAAAGTCAACCTGCCCTTAATTTGAATATTATAAAACATCAGAAGAATTGATAAGTTTATATCAAAGATGTAATTCTTTCATAGTCTCTTAATATCTATAGCTTTATTTTTTTTTTGAAAGTCTGAAATTTCAGAAAATTGTATGCTAAAAGTAGTTTATGTTTAAGGATGGGCTTTAGCACATTTGGTGAGAGCATTAGAATATGACACCAATTGCTTGGTTACACTGAACACATTCTAGTCTTGGTTGCTTTGATCTTTTGAATCTTTGCTCTATTCCAGTCAACCCAGAATGAAATGGATATGGAAAACCTTTGACATTATCCTTGTAAAAAAAATTCTATTTTTTATTATTTTAAGAATCTATAAGATACATTGAAAGTCTAAAATAAGTTCCTAGTGCATACAGAAACTATAGAAAACCTGTTTGAAAAATCTCTGAACAATTGCAAAGCTGAATATTATAAATGGAAAATGTATGGTCAGAGAAAATGATAGATGAAAAATGTTAAAAATGATTTTTCTGTATCAGCTTTTTATGACTTGACAGGTAAAATTATAACTATGTGCACCCTCTTAATGATATCTGACAAGGTTTTAGCGTTTGCAGTGAATTCTTTAATTAGATTTGATATATTGTATTATATTATATTAATTGGTATGTATTTCATATTAAATATTATCATGAACTTGTCTAAAACAATTATGATTCCCAAATTCTTTTAAATTCTATGCTTCAAGTTTAGAATTTTCAAGAATTATTGTTCTTTTATCA